AGTAATGAATGTATGAGGTTTAGCAGGTCTTGATTATGCATTTTTGAAAAAAGTTTATTTTCAACAAGACGACAGGAGCCAGCAGCAACCACAGTGCAATCAGTTTTATGTTTGTTTGGGGTTTTTTTTTTTCTTGCTCTCAAGTTGGTAAACAGCAGTGGACACACCAAACAATACTCTAGCAAAGCACTGCAATAAACATTCCTGATTTTTGGATTGGTCCCTAGTTTTGGACTGTCTTAATATATGTAAACAATATAATTTTATATCTCTAATTTTAAAGACCTCTGTTGCATCACCTTAATGCCTCAGTTCCTCCTAACTTACCCTCCTGAGACCTTTGTTGCCCTACATGCACATTCTCCAGGGCAATATAATTTTCCTGTCCTAAGATTATTAATACAGATCACAGGATTCCAGGTAACTAGCTTCAGTACAAAGCAAAGATTTCATTTGTTCTCCAGAGGCCAAGCCCTGGCACAAAGGTTGAGTAAACAGATTGTGGCAGGGGATCTTCACAGGGACATGAAAAACTAATCCTCCCTCCCAGGATGTGACACATCAGTGCACCCTCTCCCCAAACGCTGCAGCTCACGGGCTCTAGTCACATGAGTGGGGTTTGCACCATGGAGCCACATCTAGACAGAAATAACTGCAGTCAAAGAAAATAATACACAAGATTTGATATAAACAAAAACAGATCTCCTTCCTGTCTGAAGAGGAAGATAAGAAACATCCACCTCAGTAAATGTAGGTGCTGAATATGAATTTGGTCAGTGGTTACCACTGTTTATTGTAGTAGTGTTCTGTAGTAAAGTTGAGGAAAAAAGGAGAGAATGGGAGATTTGCTGTCACGTGCAGGGACAGATTTGTAATCAGATTTGCTTACAAAATAAGACCTCTACATCAGAGTGGGCACTGACTTGACAGAATAAAGCCTCACAGATTTGCACTGTGCATAGTGCCCTCATGTGGATTTTGGTGTATAGCTACATTTGCAGATTCATTAAATTTTATATAATAATTATATGACAGATATGGTAGCTGCATTAACATTGACAGAACAAGGAGTAATGGTCTCAAGTTGCAGTGGTGGGGGAGGTTTAGGTTGGATATTAGGAAAAACTTTTCACTAGGAGGGTGGTGAAGCACTGGAATGGGTTACCTAGGGAGGTGGTGGAATCTCCTTCCTTAGAGATTTTTAAGGTCAGGCTTGACAAAGCCCTGGCTGGGAAGATTTAGTTGGGGATTGGTCCTGCTTTGAGCAGGGGGTTGGACTAGATGACCTCCTGAGGTCCCTTCCAACTCTGATATTCTAAGATTCTATGATTAAGGATCAGGCAAGAACTGTCCAGTTCAATCCTATGTGTTCTTGTGCTAACCCAGAGGGAACTGCAGCATCCTCATTAAACCCAAAATACTGTAATTGTGATATGACCTGAATTGAGACAGAGCTCAGCAAAATTCATCTTAAAAATGCATTTTATGTTAGCAAAAAGTGGCAGAGAGAAGAGGATTGCGCTGCAATTTTTGGGTTCTCTGAGGGCTTGTTTACATGGTGCTTTATTCCCCACCCGTAGGGATGTAAATTGTAGTCCACACTCACATGTCATACACTAACTGCATGACATGCACTAAAAGTTCTCTAATGTGTGTTAATGTAGTCCCATTACAAACAGTAGTTAAGGTGAACTAGGGAACTTTTAATGCATGTCAGCAGGGTTCAAATGGACCAGTTAGTGCACTACATGTTAATATGGACTAAATTTTCCACCACTCTGTTGCAGACTAAAGCACTGTGTACACAAGGCCGGACACTACCAAAAACACCACCACAAATTGCAGTGATGCCTCTGGAATGTGAACTGATCACTAAAAACTGGACTGAATCCACCAAGTCCTTTCTCACAGGCCACTTACCAGAAGAGAATAACAGCTTGTGGTCAATGGAATGGATTCATACCCCCACACAGGTGAAAGGTTATATATTCCAGTGCCATATATTCCAGTGCCAATAGTCTGAATGATATAGTCCCTTCCCTCTACCCTGCAAACCCATTTCTTACTGAGAGTATTGTTGTCCAGGATGAGTAGATATTTAAACAGGGAATGTAAGCTAAAGTATGTGTGTGTGTTTAAGTATAAAGGGCAAAGAGGAAACCACAATATGAAAACATACTGATGGCTACGAATGATATATGTCAGAAGCTATCTACATATTCCACTTGGGGGATTTCACTGGCACAAGTTAAGAAATGCCACAAACAGCTGCAAAAAACTGAAACATTTTCGGCATGGTAAAACCACATTAGTAACAATATACTGTCTCAATGCAAATCTTCCTGTGAGCCAGATGGTGAGGTGGCAGCAGTGAAAAAGATGGGTGGAAACGTCTCAGAATGAGGTTTTGGGTCTCCGGCCTTGCTACCTCTTCTAATGTTGCAGTACATTCAAAGGGCCTGATTTTGATCTCAGGTAGAAGACTTTTATCGCAATGTAACTCCACTGTCTTCAGTAAAGTTACTGCACTTTTTAACGGGTGTAAATCAGATGTCTGACCCTCTGAATGCTAGTGTGCATTATTTGCAATACTAGTCTGCAATGAAAAACAATTTGATCAGTCATTTCTTATGTGAGTTGGGGTTACTTGTTCATAATGATAGACTAATAATCAGATCAGTGGATAATGGTAAATTTATTTTTTTATTAATAATAAATGGGACTGTCACATGAAATTACTTTCTTACAAACACAGTGTAGGAAGATGTCCCGTTTACTAACTAAGGGAACTCAGAGTGGAGGCTGTATAGGTGAGGTGTTACGGTAAGTGAACATACTGTTAGAAAAGTTAGATCAATGATTGTGTCTAATGGACCATTGTTTCAGTAATCAATATTTATGTATCAGTTTTGATGAGAGATCACATGTTTGACACAAAACATAATTGACTAAATATCAAGGATTATTGAAATCAGAAAATGTACAGAAGAAAGAAAAAATAGCTATGGCTAATCATCAGTTTAAAAGTACATTTCCTTATCTCTCTCACTTAAAATCATTTTGTTTCTGTTTCGTCTAAAGCCAGCTGTGGTACAGCAATGCAATTGGATGCTGTAATATAAAACCCCAATAGCACAACTGTTCCTCTGAAAGCCATTTGTTACTCACTCTCATTGGAATGGTTCCAAGCAAATAATCTAAAATTACACTTTAAAACTGATCATTTAACAACAAATATAGTATGAACCCTTTTTTAATCTAATCAACTCCTTACACCCAGATAACTGATTTTATGCCAAGAAATCTCTGGCATTATCAGCAGCTGGAACACAGCTGTGTTGGAGGCTCTGGTCTGATCTGATGGTAGGATATCTTCTCTTCCAGCTTCATTAAGGTGCAAATAGGGCTTTTCCCTGCAGCTGGATCAGATGAAATAGGTAGGCACTGGATTTTCCATTACCTCTTTGAAAGCCCACACATTTGTTGTTTCTGAAAAGTCTCTTAAGAAATAAAACCTATGAGCAGTTAAAGTTTTGCTTTAGCAGGTTATCAGATGGAATGGCCAGAAACTGTTTTAATAAAAGTCTAGAGAAAAGAAGCGTTCGTGCCCAGCGTTACTTTTAGATTATAAGGTAGTGTTGAAAATGAAGAAGGAAATGGAACTGGAACTGAAACTAAAGCACTGTCAACAAGTATAGATTTTCTGATCATTTCATCTAATTTAAGTTATTAGCACAGAATCCTGAGCTACAATAATGCCACAGCATGTCAGGTTACTGCCTCCAAAGTTAAGGAACACGGTCCGAGAATAGCACAGAGAACATACAGAGGAAGATTCTGAAGACATTCCAGGGATTTTCTCCACTGGTGGTAGCACTGCTCAGACGACACAGATTTCCAAGACATTGGTAGCATTCAAACATCCATTTTAGACAGGCCAAAATGATCAAGAGTTCAACATGAAGTGCCGTAATTCATGACGGAAATTCTTAAACTAATTTTTTTTTGCAAAATAGGCAGATTTTATCCTGACTGTCAATATAAGCTGTGATCTGGACACCTGTAAAATTACCAAGTTCCATCAGTGCCTATTTTTAAAAAATGAACATTTTAACTAGTGCTTGGCTATCCTTGAAGTATCACTCCCTGAACTACAATTTTCCCCCCTGTAATACCTCTATTCTTTTTTAAAAAAAAACAAACCTGTTTCATTCTCTTCAGAACAAAACTGCAAGTGGCTGGCTGGCTGGCTCTGGCCAACTTTTCTATTTGTGTCATTGATATGGTTTACCATCTGGTTTACTCTGTATGCCATGTAAATATATGTATCTTATTTTTCTCCCTATATATTCAGGAGCTTGCCATAACTTTGTAGAAGGATTCTGTCTGACTACTCTTTGTAAGGATATTGTCCCTGTCTAAGCTATTGTACTTTTCTGTCTTTTGGGCCTTAAATCAAGAAAGCATCTCTGTTCCAGACAGCACTTAAGCAAGTGGTTAAAGTTAAACACATGCTTAAATCCCACTGAAGTAAATGGAAGTTCAACACATGCTTAAAGTTCAACACATGTTCCTCAGGCGTTTTCCTGAATTGAGATCCTTTGATTAGAAACCCTTCAAGCCTTGATATTTGTTTTGAGTATAGTGCCAACCATACTGTCAACACTTGCTAATCATTACTATAATTATTTATTAATCATTGCCTCCACAGGTGTAACCTCGAATTAGAACTAATTGGCTTTCTTTATATTCTCTTCAAGAGCAATGTCTAGTGTCAAATTCTCCTTTGCGTGACAGCACTGCAAGTTCACTGACAACAATGCAGTAAGTTACACCAGTGTAAATCAGACAAAAATATAGCTCCCTATATCTAATCAGTTTCCATTAAGTTCCTGATTAATTCCTGAAGTAAATGATCACTACCATGTGAACCTTCTCATCTATGCAAAACATTCAGTTTCACCCAACTATGTAAACTGAACAGCTATCACTATAGTTTTCACCAGCAGACTGGTGGTGTTCAATGGGAATATATGGTAGTTGTGATATTCAAACAGCTTTCCTCAACCCTGTATTTGTCTGATTCAGCTTTCATCGCTACAGTGAGAAGGAGTAGCAAGAGGCTGGTGGTGCATGGGCCTTGGACAAAAAATTCATTCTTAAGGAAAGGTGCTTCTCTGTGATAAATTATTTGATCTGTTGGAGTTGGTACTGCAGTGCAAGGATATTGTTGTCAATTGCTATCCTTGTACATGTTTTGCCATAACTTTCCCAGACTCTAATTGCTTCTTTCCTAAAGGTGTTCTTGTAAAACTTTGAGTGGGCATTAAGAATAAGTAGAAAGTCTCCTCTTACTTGGTTTATATGCACAGCAGATATCTTATATGATTTGAGTCCTGAGCATACATTATAACCTGTCAGTTATTTAAATAATCTGTTTTAAGAGGTAAATTCAGTTTTGTCATTTCAGTGATATTTTTAATACGGGATTCTGTTCCCAAATTCACTGCTGGTGTAACTGGTTTAACTCTAGAGACTGGAAATTTACTCCTTCGGACAACACATTTTATGTTTAATCTAAAAATTCATGCAATCATAATATTTTTCTTGATAGGTGAATAGAAAATGTTCCTGTTTTATATTTACTAGCAAAAGAAATTTGCAGCTGATCAGTTGTATTTCTATTGTATAAATCAGGGAAAGACGTCACTGCAGAATGGCAGGGTTGTACTGAATCTGGTGGGTACCCCTGGATTACCTGACCTTCCCACATTCACCCCATGGTGCATTTTTAAAAACCAAACCCTAATAACTACCACATTCTTAGTGTCATTGTGACCTTCAAGTTTAATTTTTATCAAAACAAAATAAGTTAAGAATATAAAGGAACAGAATTTTTTTTTAAAAATATACAAATAAGTCAGTTGTATCATTCTTATCAACATTTAACAAACAAATAGTATTTTAGGTACTATATCTTGCATATTCAACAAAAATATGCGATTACAATATGCAACTTACAGGGCCACCCAGTCCCCCAGTGTTCATACCTTTCATGCTTCTTAACTTCATATCCAGATTTGCTAGTCTTTAGTATAAACCTTCCCAGCTTAATACACTATTTAGCCATCTCATGTCCCCGTTCCATACATGGAAATCCCACTGAAATTAAGAGCAGGTTTGCATAAAGTTTATTTACAGAATGGGGTCCCACTATCTACTAGTCTCTGACCTATAAGCTTAATGGGCATAATTCTGATTTCATTTACACTCCTGAAAATCAGGAACTAACTCTTCTAAAGTATATGGAGTTAATGCTAGTGTTATAAAACCAGCATATAAGAAGTGAGATCAGAATAAGGTCCCAGGGTTTCACAGTAGTAAAAGGGGAAGATAGCTAATGCTCATTTTTATTAAAGCAATACTTCCATTGTTCCATGAAATCATGATCCCAAATCCTGTAGAAACCCTACTGAAATCTCTCTGATTTTGGACAAGAATATCGTAGTATTTTTATAAGGAACAAGTAAAGATTTTGTAGGTTATTCTTTATTCTATGTCCTTTACTGCTGAAGAAGAAAAAATCCTGCTAACTCCATTAACCTTTTTCAACACAACGGCACTAGCATTTATAATTAGAAATCAGTATAACACTCTGATCATGATATCAATTTCCCTAACAGTAAAAATATATACCAACATAATTTGATGCTAAATAAAAAGCTCTCTGCAGGGCAAATTGGAACTATGGTCACTTTCATAATGCATATGAGTGTAAAGGGGGGACAGAGCTTAGGATTTGGTTCCATTTATGTGTATCCACAGAAAGGTTGTCATTCTGGCACTTCTCCTTCACTTCCTACAATATGCATATGTTTCTCTGACATACATAGATAGTACACTAGACCTATTTATGACTCTGACCCATACAGGCTCACTTTTGCATGATTGCATGATTATTCTTTCCTTAAAGTACATGCAATTATGAATATCACATGAAAGTTAATCCATAAAATCCTGTATATGAGTCCAAATTATTCAAAAACTCATAGCAAAGTTAAGTATAAAATTTGACTCTAGTACAGCAGTGCAATGATTTCAAACTTTCTCTGTAGGTTTAAACTAGTTTTCTAGTGAATGGTAAGTGTATCTGGTATTTTACTGACTGGAGATGTTTTCATGTAAACAAAGTAAATTTTGGGTTTCAAAGCAGAAGTTGATTTACATGACAATAAGTGCTGCAAATGCCCTGATGCAAAACCCTAGAAAAAATCCTTCTCATATCAACTTTCACTTATTTTGCATGGTCAGGGGTTTGGAGGGAAAGGCAAAAGTTTTCATTTGGGTTTAACTTCAGAACAATAAAACAAAACATTGTAACTTGCTTTTAGAGCACAATCCGAAAAACAGAATCAGAGAAAATCTGTGTTAAAAATCTCATTACAAAGAAACATTGACATTACCTATTTACACCCCAATTTCTCAAAGTAGAGCTAAAGAATAAAATATTTCAGTAGATCTCAGCAGAAAAGGCACAAAACACAAAGCAGGACATGCTTGTGTCATTTTGTCACAAAGAAGCATTGACCATTGTACAACATGGAAAAAGTCAGTATTCGTGTGACATCTCACAATATCATAGATGCACGGGGGGTATATCTTCCTCCCAATGTACATACATAACTTCCAGCAAAGCTGGAAATAATTACTAAAAAGGGGAGCAAAGGGATGAAAATATACCCAATGGTTTGTTACAATCTACACCTCAACTTATGCATTAAGGAGGCTGATTGCTGTTTTATCATTATTGGTAAACAAATACACTGCAGTGTCTTTATAATACAGTCTCTGTGAGCTGGGGATTGTGGGTGTTATGTGGGATTGATGAGGCTTAGTGGAGTTGGGAACCACGTTGTGCACTTAAATATATAATTTAACTGCTTCCTTGCTCCATACAAAAACACTAAAATATGTAAAAGAAGCCTGAGTCCTTGCAAAGAAGAACGGTTATTCTTAGAAGAGAACTTTGCCTATACTGTGCAGGAATGGCTATTCTGATGTTAAGGTGCTTCAAAAATCAGATCAATGATCTGCAATTTCCATGGCATTTCTCTCTGTAATGTACCATCATACATCCATCTGCCATAGCAGTGTCCTGTTAGCTATATTTCTATAACTAGCCTGTCTTCATCATCACTGCTTGTGTCATCGTATTCCACTCGGGTTTGTTTCCTTATCATCTCTAAACCTCTTTTTTTGTATGTTTTGGAAGGTGTTTCAGAGCTAGCTGTGGACTCTGTGGGACTGAAGGGAAATGAGGGCTGTTTAAAAGTACTAGTGCCAGTTTCATTAAGTCTTCGATGGCCATCTGATTGTAAGTAGGCTCCATTCTTGTCCATGCATCCATGAGAACTGTTTTCAGAAGAGTTTATCCCCTGTATATTAGCTGTGCTAGGTAAGCTAGTACTTGTGATTGATATCTCAGGAAGCGTGTTTACCTTTGATCCCAGTGAAGCTGAACACACAGTTTTGGAACTAGGAGTAAGTTTCTTCTTCAGAGATGAGTATGAATTTCCTTCCATTGGATGTTCCTCCTTTCCTGAGGTCTGGACCAATGGGTATAATGCAGCAGAACTTTGACCTTGTGACTCTACATTGAGTATATTTTTGTGGTCAGCTTTCGGCCATAAGAAAAAAGGAGCAGTAACCTCTGAACCCATACTCGCATGCTGGCAGCATGTGCCTGTGCCTACAAAATCAAATGGAAAAGACCAAAAAGAGGATTCCACAGGGTCAGAATGAGCATTTGGCTGTGGCTCCACTGGAAATGATTTCTGAAGCATGAGAGGTTGAGTCACTAAACAACAGATGTCCAGGTCATTGTTGGTTTGTCGCATGGCTGCTTTAGCTGGTGATGAACATGAGTATGTTACCATAGGTAATCCTGGAGTTGCATTAAAGTTCTGAAGAAAGAGATTGCCTCTTGAGTGTTTCTCGATTGGTATAGGAACATCCTGCAGCAGATGGGGGTGGGGGGGAGAGGATCAGGAAGGAAATGAATTTCAACTTACATTAAAATTTTCAATCCAAAGCAATGTCATCCTTTGTAAAGAGAATGAAATAACAATTACGTTGACTATATCCACATGACTATAAGACTGTTTATATCTGGTGTCAAGTATCAGAGGGGTAGCCGTGTTAGTCTGAATCTGTAAAAAGCAACAGAGGGTCCTGTGGCATCTTTAAGACTAACAGAAGTACTGGGTGCATAAGCTTTCACGGGTAAGAACCTCACTTCTTCAGATGCAAGTAATGGAAATTTCCAGAGGCAGGTATAAATCAGTATGGAGATAACGAGGTTAGTTCAATCAGGGATGCATAACTAACCTCGTTATCT